CCGCCCCAGTCCTTCCCAGCAGGGAGCCCTTGTACTTTGTGGCATAAAATCCTACATAGTACAGGGGCCTAAGTAGTTACCAATACTGTTCTGGGGGCTCCTCATTATAAATTAATGGGCCTGGGCCCCAAAATCCTATTCTACTTATTACGGCCCCTATATTAGTTGGTGATCATACTGGTCATAAGGTTCATTGTTATAAGTTAGAATATATCCCGCAAACTCTATTCTAGTTGCAAAGGCACGTAATAATCTGTGCTACGGGACATCAGGGCTTGAGTAAGGTCTACAGAGTTTACAGCTAAGATTAAGGCTTTAAGCTGTAGGCAAGAATTCAGTGCAGTGTGGCCGCGGCTCCACGATATCAGCAACTCCCTTCAGCCCTTCAGCTGTCCAAAGGATGTTTACCCAAACTACCACGGCTGACCGCGCCCGAGCGTTGCCCTACCAGTATTCCTGGACTCGATGCGTAAACCCAATGCTGCAGCCAGCGGTTTAGGGTTTAGGGTTGAGGGTTAGGCATCAACCCCAAACCCCTAAAAGCCCTAAAAGCCTCTGAACCCCTGATATTAAACCCTCAAAGCCCTAAAGCCAAAAACTACTAACCACCCTTCCAAAAATGCAAGCAAGCAGCTCTTCCCGGATCCCAGAGGCTCCAATGTTCCTTAATTAAGGAATATTCCTTAAATTATAGTAGGATCCTCTATATGATTTAAGGTATATTCCTTAATTAAGGGATATTGGAGCCTCTGGGAACCTTGGAAGGTGAGGCGTCGATGGTCGAGTTGGAGCTTTCTGAGGTCTGCAGAGGTTTGGGTTGAGGGTCTAGGCCAGAGGTTAGCCCAGCTTAGCCTTTTTGGGCTTAAAGCGTTAAGCCATAAACCTTAAGTGAGGGTTTAGGGTTTAGTTATGAGGGGGTTGATAAGGTTTTCGTACGTGCGTCTTAGGTTGAATAAACGGCTGATAAGGGGCTTCATAATGAGCTGTGAGCTTTGTCAGGGTTGTCTAACGCTTGTTCTTACATGGTGCTGTGGATTTTATAGGGGTGGTTTGATGAAGGTGTGGCAGGTTGTATTCTTGGTAGGGGCTTTGACAGGGCTTTGCCAGGTGTGTGTTTTTAAACAGTTGTTCGGGTCCGCTATAGGGCCTTGATCATTATTAGAATGGGGTTTGGGGTATATTATTGCATAAGTATTGTTATACATCAGAGAATGCCGTCACTGCATCAAAGCTTATCAAGGCCTGGTGGAGTTTGAGCACTGGGAAGCTATGCCCAGTAGTGTCCTTATGAATACCGAGACTGCAATCTTCTCTGTTCCAGTTCGCCTTCTTCACTGGTCTTTTCGGGCGTTTACGTGGTTATTTATGCCGGGCTGGACAGCTCCTGGCAGAAGGAATATTGAATACACCGCGAAAGTATAGACGGATCCTTAAAATGATCTGCGGCACATTGCTCCGTTCAGGAATGTCATGCTACTGTTGGCACCTTTTTCGCTGGAAGGGACACCGCACCTAGTACGTATGCCATATCTACGGCTTCAATTGTACACTATAGATGCATAGACAGCTATGGGTGTGCATGCTATATGTATAACCTATATATATATATATATCTTTATATATATATATATATATATCTTTATATATATATATATATATACGTATGCATGTATATCTATCTATGTATGTATGTATGTATGTATGTATGTATGTATCCATGCATGCATGTATGCCTGTTTGCAAGTCTATATGTATGTATGTATGTATTTATGTATGTATGTATGTATGTATGTATGTATGCATGTATGCATGTATGCATGTATGCATATATGTATGTGTGTATGTATGTACATGTATCTATTTCTTGAACGGTTCATTTACATGTATGATGGAGAGAGGGCGAGAAAGAGAGAGAGAGAAAGACAGATAGAGAGAGAGAGAGACACGGAGAGGGAGAGCGAGGGAGAGAGAGAGACAGACAGAGAGAGCGAGAGCGAGCGAGCGAGCGAGAGAGAGAGAGAGAGAGAGAGAGAAGGTGTATCACCGCTGCCAAAAAACCCTATAAACCCCACTCCCTTTGTACACCGGTATAAACTGTACAGAAACCTGAACACTGAAGGCAACTCTATAAGCCTTACACAAAACCCTATGCACTCTCTTCACCCTTTACTAAAGCCCTGGTTTAGGGTTTAGGGTTTAGCCCTCATTTACATAAACCCTGTAAGCCTCAGTCAGCTCTAACCCCTTTTGTGCACCCTGTAAGCCCTGCCCCCGTTAACATAGGTGCCTGAATATATGAATACTTACCAACACGGTTCCTTTGGCTTCGGATACTGTATAGATATAAATATAATATATACATATATATATATGTACATATGTGTGTGTTTATAGTATACCCCAGAATCCTCTTCTCATTATTAAAGCCTCCGGAATTAACCGTAACAAACCCTAACCCTAAACCCTAAACCCTAAACCCTAAACCCTAAACCCTAAACCCGAACTAACCCCGCTCAGACTGACGGCAAGTCGGCCAAAGCTGCCGGCGAGCAACGGAAAGAAAGTCAGGCCCGAGATGCTTAGGGCTTAATTAGAGGGACCTTTATAGTTAGGGTTTTGAGGTATATTAGAATATAGGGTTTAGGGCTTAGGGGTTTAGGGTTTAGGGCTGGGATGCTTAGGGCCTAATTATAGGGGTTTTAATAGTTAGAACAGGGTTTGGGGGTTCCTTTAACAGGTTCCTGAAAGGGTTTCTATAAGGGCTACTATGTCTAAGCCCATTATAGGTGGGTA